ATCGAAGCCAAACACATATTCAAAGCGGTTCTCTCGAAGTTACCGAATGTACGCAAACTGTCGGCCAAAGACGTGAAGACAATATGGGACGAGTTAAGCGACGACCGATCGCCGCCGTCTGATCCATGGGTTGTGGAGTTTACCACAACTGAGAACGACGTGGAGGCCAATCAATTGGAGACCAAGCGTTTGGCTTTACTCTTAAGCGACCAGAATATAAATGTGGGAAAAGTGTTTTGCGATAGAGAGCCCAAACCCTGCGCTCAGTTTTATATCCAAAAACACCCGTCCATTGCTGTCCTCAAGTCGGGTCCCAATTACGAAGTATATCACGGTTTGTATAATTGGAGTTTTTAATTAATTATTTGTTTGTAATGTATGTTTGTTTTGTGTCCAACTTTTAGGCCGAATACTGGCCTTCGATATCGCAAACTTCGCCAAAGAATCTCTCACTAGTCGTCTCCAGACATTGGATCCGAATGTGTTTGAAGATAAGGTCAACAATGCTGTGTCCGCCGATAGTAAGCCGTGGTTTGTCGACTTCTTTTCACCGGTTTGTCATTTTCTACATTTACTGATTTGTAATAAAACTATTGATTATAACATTTAACAAACATTTAAACACATTTTGATGTATACAGTGGTGTCCGCCGTGTATGAGACTAATGCCTGAAATCCGAAAGGCGTCCCGAAATGCCAATCATTTGGTTAACTTTGGAACCATTGATTGCACGGTTCACTCCTCTATGTGTAAAAAAGTGAGAGATTTTTTGTTTGAAAACTTTTGCCATAATTTATGTTTTAATTGCGTTGATATTTTAGTATAACATCAGATCGTATCCAACGGTACTTCTGTACAACTCGTCGGTCGCCCATCAGTTTCATGGCCAGCATTCAGAGCACGATTTGATTGATTTTATTCAAGTAATTATTAATCAATTGATTACTTATCCAATTTTGTTATAGCAATTAATTTAATGACACATTTTTTAGGACACTTTGTTCCCGACTGTCACTCATTTGACTCCCGAGACGTTTAAGGAGAACGTGGAGCGGAAGAAGAGCACCACTCTATGGTTAGTGGACTTCTTCGCGCCGTGGTGTGGGCCCTGTCAACGACTGGCCCCTCAATGGACCAAATTGGCCAAAATGCTTAAAGACGAGCCCAACGTTATGGTCGGTTCTATTGACTGTCAGGCGTTCTCACAATTGTGCGGCGATTTGGAGGTCAGATCCTATCCTACTATTCGTTTATATCCACACAAAGACAGCAAATACTACTCTAAGGATCAAAAGTTTCAGTCAGTATTTGAATCATTGTTTGTTTGGATTTAAATTAACTTTTAATTAATTGTGTTTTGTTTTTGCAGTTTATTTAATGGTCACAATCGGGACGCGGAATCTCTGCGCGTTTGGGTCTATAATTTCATTCCCAGTTCTGTCAAAGAGATTGAAACCGAAGATGCGTTTAAAAAAGTGATAAAATCCAAGCATATATGGCTCCTAGACTTCTACACTCCCTGGTGTTCGCACTGCACTTATTTCGCTCCCGAGTTTGAACTCATATCTAAGGTTTGCCGTCGTTTTTTTGCCATCAATTAATGTTTGAATTAATATTCATTTAATGATTGATTTGTTTTGAATCAAACAGAAATTGAAGGGCAAAGTAAAGGCCGGAAAAGTAAACTGTCAGACATTGGGACAGTTGTGCAGAGAGGCCGGCGTTACCGCTTACCCGACCGTTAGATTGTACGACAAGTCGACGACTTCGACCAAAGGTCTGCCCGTCGATGCCTTCGCTGCTAAGGATATCGTGGCTTTTGTCGACAGATTTATCGCTTCACAAGAAGTAAGTTTTTGTTTAACATTTTTTTGTGTGTATTTTGTATTAAAACTGATTTTTGATTATTTTTACATAGAATTCAATTCGAGACGAGTTATGATAATAGCTGTTAACTAATGAATTACAATCAACCAATTTATACACGCATTAAAACGACACAATTTTTACCATAATCTAGTAACACATTTTTATATCCGTTTATTTATTTACAACAAATAGTAATTTATTTTAATTGAATTAATAATTTTGGATCAAATTTTCTGGATTAATGTTTTTAAATTAACTGTAAATTATAATTATTTTAATTAAATTTTTTAATATAAGACTAAAGAAATTGTCATTAAATCACGAATACATCGAAAAACAGAGTATTTATTGAATAATTTTGTTTATAATAAAAATATTGATATATTTATGAGTTAAGAGTTATTCAGTAATTGAGACAAAAAACAAAATTGAAAACAATAATAAAAAAATCAATTGTCTTTTCGACGACCGATTGGCCGAAAGGGACGGACTCTTGTATTGGCGTTCAGACGGGATCGGGAATAGTGGACGGAACCTTCCCCTCCCCGGGGCCGGGCATGAACTCCTCGGTGCCCACCCTTACGGGAGTGATGCCCTGTTCAGCGGCTGAACCAGTGGAGCCGATGGTCAGACTTCCCGCTTTTGGTGGGGCCCCGGGATCGGCCGCCGATGCTTTGGTCCCCTTCTTCACACTAGTCTTGGTTTTCTTGTGAAACGGTTTGTATTTATACACGTATGCGATCACACCTATCACTACAGCCACTATTAACACCACCACTACAATAGCACCGATAGTCAAGCCCTCACTCATTGTCCACTTCTTGTGTCACAGGATATGATAATTCAATCAAGTCTTCGGTTAAAAACGAGTCCAAAACTTTTCAAATGAATTGCGAAACAAAACCGTTTATTTTTTGTCCACTAATTGACTGCGATTTTTAACTGTAAGCTAACGGTCGGTAAATGTGAATCAGATTTAATTGTTTAATATTTAATTGAGTTGTTTTTTGGTGCAAATGTTTAGTTTTAATCGCGAGTTATATTGTATTGTATTTAATAATTTTTGTATTATTAGCACTCATTGGCCTCTAATAATGTGCTCACAATTTAAATCTGGATTTCAAATTCATAATTCAAATCAAAGTGAACGTCAAATTCAAACCTCAAATCTGATCCTTACGACCAAATAGTGGCCACAAATTCATCGAAAGTCAGAAAGAGATACCAATTTGTTCATCATTTTCGTGACACAGAGTCTCATCGTTCAGAGCCTCAGATCGGCTGTAATGAAGTCACTGATTGTCGTCTGTTTGACGGTTATTGCGATTCTGGCCATCGGTTCAGTGACTGCCGAGGAAGGGGTGCCGAAGAACAAGAAATACAAAGATCTGCTGACAGTGGGCGTAATCATACTGTGCGTGTTTGACGGCCTGTGTCTCGTGCTCTTGATATACCTGTGCTATACGGCCCGTAAGGATGGCATGGGTGGCGGCGGCGGCTCATCCATGTCCAGAACGGGCTCAAAGATCGGCGGAAAGTCCTCCAAAGTGGGCAAAAGTCCGTCGAAAGTGAGTCAATCGCCGTCGAAGGCCGGAGCGCCGGTCAGTCCCAAAAAGCCCAGTCCTCCCAAAGCCTGAGAAAACTTTAAAAACTTTTCGCTTAGGTTTCAAAACGAGGCTTTTATTTATGGCTTAATATTTGAGTTTTATTTTCAAATTTGTTTTTCTCTTAAATTTCTTCTTCTAATAAATAAATTCCTAATAAAATGTTTACAATTAATGTTTTCTCATAATTCTTAATGTTTAGCATTTTATGTGGTTTTTATTACTGTTATATTTTTGAATAAATCATTTCATTCAATGATTAAATTCAATGAAAACACCTTTTTATATAAACAACTCTTTGCCTAATCTATTGCCACAACAACTCCGACTGAAGAGTTGGTGACCAGTGGTGCGGCTCTCAGTCATAGATGTAAACACGTTGACCATCAAAGCCCTCAACCACTAGTGTTTGGATCAATTCATGGATCACTTCATATCGACAGATATTGAATTATTGACGCATTTGTTTCGTACAAATATTTTAATCATTTTAACACTAATTATAAGAAAATAATAACATTTTTTTCGCGAACAATAAATATTTTATTAAATTGTTTATTAAGTGTTGACTTAAATTACTATTAAAAACAAACGTAAATCACTAAAAGCTATAATTTGTGTAAAAATCAAACTCTTATCACATGAAAGACAAGTTATATATAATTATTGATTCAATTAAATAAATATTTAATAAAATAAGTAAAATTTGTATAAAAACTCATTAAAAATACCATTAAATAGTTGCATAATCTTTAAAAAACAAAACATTAATCCATGTGTTATATACGGCCTACAAATGGATCCAATCTATTGCTTGAATGGCCGAGAAATGATTGAATTAGCGATCAATGAAGACATCGATGAAGATATCAACTAAAGACAAGTGTCTTCGCCAATGACGAGATGTATGAATAGATTCAATAATTGTGTAATTTATCACGATTTTTGGTGGACTGTCATGTGTTTATTGAGATTATTTTTCTGAGCGCACCGATAGCCACATCCGGGCCACAGACAGGCGTGCGGTTTGACCTTTTTGTGAATGGCGTCCGTGTGCTGCTTGAGTTTGCCTTTGGTCACAAACCGTTGGCCACAGTCGGGCCACTCGCACGCGTGCCGGCGCTCACCCGTGTGAATGGTCTGATGCACTCGCAAACTGGTGCCCACGTATTCACATCCGGGCCAATCGCACCGGCGTTTGGGCTTCACTCGGACCGCCGCCGGCTTATTGTGGACAGAGATCTGGTGTTTGAGTAGCGAATAGTTGGAGAAAAACATTTGTCCGCAACCGTCGCGCCGACACTTGACCGACGGCTGTTTGGTGTGGACCGACACGTGAACAGAGAGCTCGCCGGGCGTCCGGTACCGCCGGTCGCAGCCCTCGTACGCGCACCGATAGGCACCCAAGTCGTGTGTCCGGCAATGTATGCGCAAATGGGGCTGACTTTTGAACGCCTGACCGCAACCGCTGTGATGGCACCGATAGGGCCGCGCCGTCGAGTGTTTGCGCGAGTGTTGCCGCAGTTGTTGCCGATCGCGACACCGATAGTCGCAGCCCTCGTACTCGCACGCCATGCGCTTCGCGGCGTCGCAATGGATCCGCTCGTGACTCTTGAGTTTCGGTTTGGACTTAAAGCCGTCGCGATTGGCGCACATCGGATGCCCACAGAAGTAGAGGCGCTCGCAGTGAACGCACCGCAAGTGTTGGGCAAATGACTCGTTGGTCGCGAATTGCGACCGACAGTCGCCTTCCGGACACCGGTATTGCCCGGACTTCGGGTCCAAACACTTCTCGCGCTCGGCGTATGACATGTCGTCCAACGCTGTCCGCATCGGTCGCCCGTTCATCACAATCACCGCATCCGACGTCCACTTCTTGTGGTGTCTCACGAGATGTGTGTAAAGACTTTTGGGGTACTGAAGAGCTTTGCGACAGTTGTGTTGCGGACAGACGTACCGATCGGTCGCCGAGTCTTTCATTATCTCGATCTCAAACTTTGGCGTTTCGGTCAAACTCTTGGGCTTTTGGTCTTCAGTTGTCACCCTTTGACCGACGCGTCGCCGGCTTTGTCCGCCATTGTTGTCGACATCTGATCCGTGAGATTGTCTTTTATTCGCCACACTTTTGGCGATTGATTCACACGATTGTCGTGTCTTGTAATCGATCGCATCACTAATGGTCTGATCCGTTGAGCGCTTGTCTTGAGTTACGGCCAACTGTTGCGACACTTTCTGGAAGTCGTGTTTGTCTTCACAATCGATAAGTGTTTCATATTTTGAGTGAATTTTATTTAAATGTGTTTTCAATTCATTCAAACATTTGTTGGCAAACAATAACTCATTTAAAAGTCGTTTGTTTTCANTTGAGTGAATTTTATTTAAATGTGTTTTCAATTCATTCAAACATTTGTTGGCAAACAATAACTCATTTAAAAGTCGTTTGTTTTCAACCATTAATTCATCAAAAATATCATTAATACTAATAATGAGTGACTTTTTGGTTCTCTTTGAGGCCATCACTCAATCCATAGATAATTAAATTAAAAACAAAATGAAATAAAACATTGAATTAAATTAACAACAATTAAATCACAAAAATCTTGTAATAAATGACAGCAAAAAAATGTGTAAACAAAAAACACTTCAAAAGTGTTGTCACATATTTTTGGGGGACTTTTACTGTAGTTTCAAATGCAATGCAAACGTAAACAAAGTTTTAGTGATTATTAATATTCACACAAAAACTTATCACACATTTGGAGGAAAAATGTTGATTAATATTAAAAGTCATTCATTTATTGTAATCACAACTTATTTATAGACAGATATGAATGGCTTTCGTGTAGTTTTAATGTTATAAAAACTTTTATCGCAACCATTTTTACTTGTTATCAGTTATCTCTTTGTTTGTCGATCTGATCCCAAGCCATGAACCGAGTGGTAGTGATGTCGGGTCTGAGGACACCCTTTCTTCGGGCCAACACTCACTTCCAGGACGTGAAGGGCTTTGAGCTCTTGAGGCACGCGTTGATCGCGACGGTCAACAAAGTGGACCAATTGGACAAAAACGATGTCAATTACGTGGTCGCAGGTTAACCACCAATTGTTATCTTTATATATCACTTAATCCTATGCCATAACTGATCCCATTGTCACCATAGGTCAGACATTTCAAACGGGAAACTCCAACGTAGCGCGCGATTCGGTGATCACCGCTGGGTTTGATGTCCGCAAGACTGTCGCCCATACCGTAACGCAGGCCTGCATTAGTGCCAATCAGGCCATCACTTCTGTGGCCACTCTCATAGCCACCAATCAGATCGACTGTGGCATCGGCTGTGGTGTGGAATCGCTGTCCGATCCGCCCATTCGGGTCACAAAGGCTCTTCGCCGATGGCTTCTGGATATGAATAAAGTGCGGACCACTTCTCAGAGACTCAGTAATCATTTCCCAATTGATCCCAATGTATGCCATTGTTTGACATTTGATTCGTATTGATAGGAATGCTTGTGAAACTGCGACCATCGATGGTGTTTGGCTTTGAGGCGCCGCCGATCGCCGAGTTTACCACCGATGAGACAATGGGCCAGTCGTGCGATCGCGTGACCGCCGCATTCAAAGTGTCGCGCGAAGAACAGGACAGGTTTGGCGTCCGATCGCATCAAATGGCAGGTGAGGCTCAAAAGGCGGGACATTTGGCGGATGTGTCGCCAATTCTTGTGTCCAAAATCGGGTAAATTAATGACAAGTTTTAGCATTTTGTTTGAAATGTCTGAAAACTTATCATTAAATACAGTCTTGTGGACAAAGACAATGGGATCCGTTCGGCGACGTATGACTCTGTGGCTAAACTGAAGCCGGCGTTCACGAAGACAGGAACGGCTACCGCTTCCAACTCGTCGTATCTGACGGACGGCGCTTCGGCCACACTATTGATGTCCGAACGAAAGGCCAAGAGTTTGGGTCTGAAACCACAGATCTATATCAAAGACTACATATACGTAGCCATTGATCCTAAAGAGCACCTGCTATTAGGTCCGGCGCACGCCATCACCAAATTGCTTAAGAAGAATAATCTCACGTTCAAAGACATCGACGCGTTTGAGTTGCACGAGGCGTTCAGCGGACAAGTGTTGGCCAATCTTAAGGCCATGGATTCGGAGGAATATTCGCGAACAAAGATTGGCACAGAAAAGGCGGGTCTAATACCGATGGATCGGCTCAACACTTGGGGCGGTTCCGTGTCGTTGGGCCACCCGTTCGGCGCCACCGGTTCACGATTGGTCAATATGGCCGCCAATCGGCTCCTGGAGTCCGGCGGGAAGTACGCGATGATCGCCGCCTGCGCTGGCGGTGCGTTAGGACACGCCATGATTCTCGAGAACTGCTCTTAACCTATGGATCAATTTATGGTGATAGTTATGTGCATTGGTTTTGGACTTTTTAATATTTTTATTTACGAATCAAATTATGAATCTTATTATGAATTAAATATATTATGTTTTAACAAATTTATGTATTTTTTATAACTTTATTTTGATACGAATTTTGTTATTAATCTTGTAATCAATTGTTTATTAAACGTTATTAAAATTATATATTACTTATCCCAATATTGATCTCATAATTAATACAAATAGTGTCCGAAAGTGGCACACGGTTATGGTGAATTGAAATGAAATTAGCTTGGCCTGTTTTTCTATTTAATCACATTTAATTACCGTAGTTTTGTTTTGAAATATTAACATTAATTAGAAAATAAACTAAAAACTGTAATCAAATAATTGAAGCAAACATTATCAATCTATGTAAAAAAATTGTAAAATATAATTTTGGTAGTAGAAGTGTATATGAAAAGTTTAAATTTTATTTAAAAATAGCGCTCAAATAATTAGTACAGTTTAGCTTAGATGGTATAACATGTAAATTTAAATACTAAATTTTATCAATATTTACATGATTAACTGATCATGGAGCTAAATTAATTATTCATTATTTTATTTCTGCTTAACTATATAAACAATTTGATTATTTAACATAATTATTTATTTAAATAATATTAAACATGATTAACTGTACGCGACTTAAACCCTTTAACTGTATAAAAAGTATGTCAAACTACGTGTACAATAAGTGTCTATATATTTCAGGACCTTTTAATACACACAAGTGCTGTAAAGCATAGATTTTCTATACAAATAAAAGGTATTAAAACATCGATAATAAATACGAGTGAAAATGTTGAGTGAGTTTCTAATGTAAACGCTTTGCGTCACAGAAATTGATTTTTGTGTTGTTTTTGGGCACGAATTGAAACCAATGCTCACATCTATTCACACGACTCACTGTTTGGCAATGCATTGACAGTCGGATTGCAATCCTCTGTTTATATCAATAGTATTGACATTTGAATGGCATTTAAAACACACCACTATTTGAATCACTGATTGTTTGCCACAAATGTGTATTAATTGACATTTAATTGTGATTTTTGTATTGATTTATATGTGATTTAAACGCGTGTTTCAGTCAATTGTGGCCCAAAAATAAGTGTAATGTAAAAAGTGTTGTGTTTTTTGTCGTAATTATAATTTTCACATTTAAATGTCATTTAAAACCAGAATTAATGCGAAATTAAAGCCAAAAATATAACTAATTATAAGTTTTTAATTATAATAATAATAATGACCTGAATATTGACCAAACATTTCATTAAATTATTACATATTTTATTAAATGATAATTAAAACCAAAAATAATTTCTATCAAAACTAATTGTATGTAAAAATTGTGATAAAATTTTAATGAATTTAACGAAAAAGTGAGAGAAATATATAATTAATACAAAATATAGTATTGTTTTTGACACTCAATTGAGTTGTGATTCAAATAAATAATAATTTAATTCAATTTGTGTTCAGTTTTTGTGATCAAAACATCTGATTTTAGCCATCGATTCAGTACTCAAGTCATACATCCGGTGATATTCCCGAAGATTGATATGAAGACTACTTAACAGACACTACCAGAAGACATGTCCGGACATCACAAGAGCGGATCCAACGGCTCGATCGGATCCAAATGGGATTCAATGGGAACTATACTAAACAACCCGCTGTTGGGACCGCAGAGTAACGGCAAAGACGCGAACCAATTGTTGACAATACATACCGACCATAAGGACGACCACAACAGTGCTTCCGATGACTATCTGTTCAATAGTGAGACTCAAAGACTGCATGAGTCGGACGTTTGCGACGAATTGTTTGACGAAAATTATAATCAATTCAATTGGAGATCATATGAGGGAATCATTTATTCCTCTCTTAGCTCTCTATTCTTCTCCTTGTCTTCAGTTATCGTCAAGTATTTGGACGTAAGTATTGACACACAGTATAGCTCTCTCTCTCTCTCTCTCTCTCTCTC